CGGGCCGAGCTCCTGAGGCAAAGGGAGGGCCGGGGCGGAGCGGGGCGGGGCGAGTTCTCCAGATCCCGGCTGTTTCAGTTTCTCTCTGAGTAGGGTCCTGATCTGGAGTGAGAGCGCTGCTCTTTCCTGCTGAGGTCCCGCTTGCTGGACATCTTCTGGAGCACCTTCCACATTCCCTCCGTCATCCTCTTTTGAACTCTAAAGTCACATCTGACTTTTATTATATATAACTTTCCTTCTTTTAGCGTACTAGAAATTGAACTACATCCCCAGCCCTTTTTAATTCTTTTTTTAGACTGGATCTATGGCTAAGGTTGCTAAATGATCTAGGCTGTGCTGGATCTTGCAGTCTTTCTGCTTTGGTCTCCCAGAGTACAGGTATGCACCACCAAGACAGGCTTTATTTTGCTGCTGCTGCTGCTTTTCCTCTTCTTCTTCCTCCTCCTCCTCCTCCTGCCATCAACGCTGGATATGATTGAGTCTAAAAGTCTCCATCTCACAACAAAGGACAGAGTGTGGCTTAATGGATTAGAAATTAAGAAGTAACAGAGTTAAGCCCCAAAACTGATTTTACCTTAAAATTGTAATTCATTCCCATCATTATTTTCACTTGGGAACTTGACAAAAATGTTGCTATTTGTTTATGCTGTATTTGTAGGAATCATTCATCTGACAAATATAATTGAATACAAATATGCTAGTCACCATGCTAGGTGTGAGTATAAATAATTATCTTTTGGAGTAGAGACCAATTTTTTTTCCAAGGGAAAAAAGAAAACTGCACACATAATAATAGGTTGTAGTATAATTTTAAAGTCAAAATAGTCTACACTTCATAAATCAAAATTTTATACATTTTAATATTGGGTCTGACATACAATGTGGAGGGAAAAAAGTCATGCAAACTTGAGAAAATCTAAATAATTTGCACCCTAAATTATATTTCAGTAAAAGGGAGTTTTGTTTTTTGTTGTTGTTGTTTGTTTGTTTTAGTTTTGGTTTTGGTACCAGGAATAGAACTCTGGCCCTTGTGCTTGTGAAGCAGGTGCTGGAGCCACTGAGCTAAATCCCCAGCCCAAAAGGGAGGTTTTTGTTTTTTTTGTTTTTTTTTCTTTTTTATTGAGTTTATTGGTACAATCTAGGTCTACAATACAGTTACATTCATTACTGGGATGCTGTACCTTCACATGACAGGTCTTGGTTCTCATTTTTCCCCTTGTCCCTGCCGTCCCTTCACCCCTCCTCCCCTCCCCATTAACAAACTCTTTATTTCCATTTTTTCATTTTCTCATATTTTTTCTTTTCCCTTATTTCCTTGCCCCTACCCTTCCCCCTTTCCCTACACCTTTTACCCCTTTTCTTCCCACTTCCCACTCCTACCCATCAAAAGGGAGTTTTTTAAAGTGTACAATATGTTGGAACCCAATTTGTAATTTTTTAAAAAAGGGACAGTATTAGGGAAATTTAGGTTCTAGTCCTAACAAAAAGGAATTTAGGAATTATTCAAACCATCATGAGACAACTGTGCTAGCCCTCAGTCTGACACTTTTAACAAACATACCTAGGAGCTGAGAGTTTAAAATGGACCAGTCTTCAAGACTATGAAATTAAGATGACATACCAGGAGACCAGGATGGAAGGTCAGCTGGGCCATCAAAGACAGTATGATCAGCAAAGACACCAAGAAGCCAGAGAGGGGACAATTCATTACAGTCAAGCCATTGAAGAGGCAGGGGAGTGATGTGCCCTGTTCCAACGCTCAAGAACTTTCCCAGATGATGAGGGCAAAGTCCAGGTGGCAAGGGATGAATTTGTAGACTAGTCATTAATATCGCCTATAGTTACCTTTACTTAATCGGCATAGTAAAAAAATTCACAGTGCCGGGGATTTAGCTCAGTGTTTCTGCCACCTGCCTCAAAAGCACAAGGACCCAAGTTTGATCCCCAGTACCAAAAAGAAAAAAATTCACATCCCAAGGTGGAGACTTAAAACAGTAATAGATATGTTGCATGAAGATGCATGATAAAGACATGATAAAGATGAACAGACCCAAGTTAAACTCCTCCTACGTGTATGATGACATCAAGAGCCCAACTGACCAGGTCCCTCCTACCCTGTAAACACTGTAAAAGCTGTACACTGTTGTCTGTGTTTGGGTCAGCCTGAGGTTCCTGTCCCCCACGGCTCTTTCCCCTTGTACTCAAGCACAAGAATAAGAAGGCCTTCCTCCTGTGCTGCTATTTCACTCTTCTGGTAGACAGCACAAGAACTCATGGAGTCATACAGTAATAATCATACAGTACTGAAAATTTTCTTGGAAATGACAAAATTCCAAAGCGATTTTGATTTAGAGCGGAGGTGCCTTTAACATGATCAATGTCTCCGGAGATTGCAACCTCCATTTCAAAATTTGGCATAAGTTTGTTTTGGGGGGCTTTTTGTTTTCATTTGCCTTTGGTTGAGACAGGATTTGCTATGTAGTTTGGGCTGGCTTTGAATTCACTATGTAGCCAGGCTTGCCTTGAACATACAGCAATCCTGCTGCCTCAGCCTCCAAAGGGCTGAGATTATAGGCATGTACAAACATGCCTGGCTCATTGGAATATTTAATAAGTATTTCTATCAGATATCTTATAGCTTTACATTTTTGTGTGCTTTGTGATTTATTTAGCAATGTGGGGTTATATTCTTTTGGGAGTTTGTGCATTTATTGAGTTATTATTTTTGTGTATTTGTTCTTTCATTGGCTCTGATTTAATAGATGTTTAGGTTCTCTCCTTGTCTCAGCTCCCTATCTAGTTTCATCACCTCAGATGCCTGGGACAATATTATTAATATATTTCTTTATTCTTTTTTCCAAACATGTAAACCCCTCTTCCCAAGTTTTTATATTCCTCATACTTCACTATCCTCTCTAGTATTAATTACAGGGCTGGGGATTTAGCTCAATGGTTCCACTGCCTGTCTCGAAAGCACTAGGTCCTGAGTTCATTCCTTGGTACAAAAAAATATGTGTGTGTGTGTGTGTGTGTGTGTGTGTGTGTGTGTAATTAATGCTTGGTCTTCTCCATCCTGAGCCTTAGGCTCTTCCATACCCTACCTAGCTGGTTGTCCTCCCTATCAGCAAGTTCTGACAACCAAATAGCTTTCCTCAATCACAAGTAAACTCTCTTTCTCCCATATCTTTTCCTTGCCCCCACAAAATATCATCTGAAAACTCTCAATACTAAACCTTCAACTCAACTAAAAGTATTCCAATAAAATCAGACCTCACATCAACTTTTTTCTCACCTACCATTATTCCCCGCTTCAGACCTCCCCTCAGTAACTAACACTCCTCAACCAATCACCTCTCATTCCCCCCACCCCACCTCACCTACCTCACTGCAGAACAACAAATAACTGCCATCATGTGCATAGAGAAGACAAAGGGGGAAGTGTGCTGCAGAGCCTATCATGTAGAAGTGTTGTAAGACTGAATCTGTGGATTCACTGTAAGAAATGATTCTTTTGAGAAAACACAGGAACAGTCGAAATCTAGCACTGCACATTCAAAGCTGAAAATTATTCATGGGGCAGCAACATCCTACTAAGAAATCTCCATGTAAGCCTCCCTTCTCTAGTGCCCAACCTACATTAACCTGCCAAAAAAAATGGGGGGAAAATAGAGGATACACACACACACACACACACACACACACACACACATAACATACATACACACACATATATCCAAACAAATAAAACAGTATGATAGTTAACTGATTTTGTCAACTTGAGTAAGAAATGCCCAATTAAATTGGCTCAGCATAGTTCTGGGTGTGGAAGACCCAACCTAGTGAGGATTGTCACCAAAACGGTATAAAAGGGAAATGAAGAAGGAAGACTTGCTTGTGTTTCTTCAGAGATCCAGTCTTCACCTTCACCTTGGACGTTGTCTCCTAGCTTCCAGCAGACTCTTAAGCCTCCAAGATAGACCCTTCTGCTCTCCATTGCAGACCCTTTGACCTCTTGGTATGGACTTGCATAGGAAACTACACTGAGCTCCAGACCTTTGACTGGATCCTTTGGATCTCTAGAGCACAGATAGATCTTTTTCACTCTTTCATAGCTGACTCTCTGGGTGGTCACTGTGAGCCAATCTTGTAAATTCTTAGATATTTGCATATCTTGCATTAAATCTCTTTGTCTAGTAAGCACTGACTGATACACACAGAAACAAATAAGAGAAAAAAATAAAGGATCTCTGAACACCTCCTCAGCCTTCCCAAGGCAAAGCAAAGGGGTCAGAAAGGGAGAAGAAGAAGAAGAAAAAAAAAAAACAGGTAACAGATATCTATAAGACTTTCATACAAGGGTTGAAGAAAATAGATGAGTTCAAAGAGGAAATGAAACAAAAGTTCACAGAAATTACATTCAATATGCCCACAGTAAATTTCAAGGAAATAAGTAAAAAATTAGATGAGCTAACCAAAACAGTTCAAACTTTGAATGACAATTCAACAAGGATATGGAATCCTGGAAAAGATATGATAGAAATACCTGAAATAGAAAATTCAGATATTGTAGAAATGACTAATGTAAAGACAGAATATCTGATATTG